TCCTATGTTATCATACATTTTTTAAAGTAGGTAATAGGAGCACTGATCTTAAGAGATATAAGTTAATTATGTAAACTTGCTACTAAAATATATTGTCCAAATAGACCGGTCAAAGTACTTTCTTTGATCTGCTAAAAAAGCTATTTTTGAAAAAATATGAAATACACCTAAATTGATAAACTTGCTATTTTCGGCTTCCACATAAATGTTAAAAATTCCCAAGTGCTGGCCTGCAGCTCTCCCATATTACTGGGAATAAAAATGGACTTCAAGCATTTACAGAAAAGCCAAACAAAAAGCAGACTCAGTGCCATGAGTCGATTCTGAGGCTGTAAGTCTATAGAAGCAGAGAGCCTCATCTTTCTCCTGCCACACAACTAGTGGTAGTTCTGACCTAACCTTTCGGTTAGCAGCCTAAATGCACAACCAGTGCACACACCAGCAGTGTGCTAGCCTTTCCCGAAAAGCATAACCATCTTTTGAGCTATGTTTCAAATTCGATGGTGACATGGCTTTACTGTAGGCTGTGAATTCCAATTTGGAAAGGGGTCAAAGCAGGGGAAATGAGTGAAGGGCACTGGGGTAAAATCGTGTTTGGGTTGACTAGCAGCCTTCTAGTAGTATCCCTGCTTCAAGGTGGAAGAGCATCCTCCACTTAATGGCAGGCTGCTTTACTCCCAACTAAACAAAGCTATTTTCAAGGTACCTTTGTCACTATATTTAAACCACAAGGCTTTTTATCTGGGAAGTATTTTATAGTGGTTCAAGTACTTTCACCTTGCTTCAGAGTTACACAAACGATCCAAGCTCAGCAAGACACGTGAAATCCTTACTCCCACTTTAAGTTTGGGCTTTCTCTTGTACCACCGGTAGGTGGTGTTCCTATCATGACAAAACGGTCTGCTAACACCAACGTATAGTTCTCTTCTTGGGCTGTGTCCTTTCAGGAGTGGAAAGGGCTAGTGTGCCAACAGTTTACAGACTGACAAGGTGACAAGTATCCCTTTGTGGACTGCTTTCCCTCAGAACACAGACAAAGAAGAATTCTAGACAAGGACTATAATATACTGTCAATATTACGGGACATTTATCCTGAATCATTACAATTAAGCACTTAGAAAATGCCACTTTTAAAATTCTAAAAACGTGTAATAACACAGACTTTTACATAGTGACTTTTAAACTACATATATGCTTATTTACCGATATACACAAGGAACCTTTTAACAAATGTTCATGGATTTAATTATTTTCTACACATAAAGGAACCTTTTAAACCACTTACCATCTGAAGACATTAATTCATCAATGATATCTCCACTAATAGATCCTGCTGGAAACAAATGTAATGGAAGTTTTGTTACATTCCTGTTGATATTTAAACACAGGTAGTCAAAGAAGTAGCTACAGTAACAGCAAAAAAGTTAACAAACAAAGCTAAACCCAAACCCAGTGCCATCAAGTCAACTCTGACTCCTCATGTCCCTTCGTAAGGTTTCTAGAACTCCACCTCTTCACGGAAACAGACAGCCTTAGCATCCCCCCTGGAGGGGATTGATAGGTTTGAACTGCAAACTCTGTGCTTGGCAGCCCAGTTCTTAACCCCCTGTGCCACCAGGGCTCCATAGGAGAAGAGGGGAATCAACAGAGTATACTCATGAATTTGCTCATTTCATAACTACACTGAAGAAATGCTGAGTTGCCCAAGTCTGTACCTAACAATCCTTCAATAACAACAGAACTATCCAACAGAAAACAAGAGCAGTGCTATTCAAAAATCATTATTTAGGGTGTTCAGGAGCTAAGTGGCTGTAGGGAGCTTAGAGAGGACATGATCTCCAGTGATCCTGCTGACCTCCGCTACTTCAACA